GAAAACAAGTCTTTAGCGATGTAGATTCAGTGACTATGTTTTTACAATTACAAAAATAGCATGCAGGTGGGGAAAAGTTAAACCATTCAAAAAGGTAGCTATCCCTTAAAATTCACCAGTTAATGTGTTGTTTATTCTTCCAGAAATCACTATCTATCCATCTAAATTATATATGTATATATAATACTTTTAAAAGTATTATTACTTTCTTAAAAAGTAGAGATGGGTCACCCAGAAATTGAGCCAAACCACTATGCTCAATTAATATTTGACAAAGGAGGCAAGAGCATGCAATGGAGTCAAGACAGTCTCTTCAATAAATGGTGTTGGGAAAATTACACCATACACAAAAATAAACTCAAAATGGATAAAGGACTTAAACGTAAGACGGGAAACCATAAAAATCTTAGAGGAATCCACAGGCAGCAAAATCTCAGACATATGCTGAAGCAATTTCTTCACCGATACCACTGCTAGGGCAATGGGAACTAAAGAGAAAATAAACAAATGGGACTACATCATAATAAAAAGCTTCTGCACAGCAAAAGAAATCATCAACCAAACAATAAGAAAGCCCACTGCATGGGAGAACATATTTACCAATGTTATAAGGGTTTAATCTCCAACATTTACAGGGAACTCATACAACTTAACAAAATGAAGATAAACAACCCAATCAAAAAAATGGGCAACGGGCCTAAATAGATATTTTTCGAAAGAGGACATAAGGAAGGCCAAGAGACATATGAAAACATGCTCAAAGTCACTAATTATCTGACAGATGCAAATCAAAATGACAATGGGGTACCATCTCACACCTGTCAGAATGGCTATCATCAAAAAATCAACAAATGACAAGTGCTGGCGAGGATGCAGAGAAAAAAGAACCCTTATGCACTGCTGGTGGGAATGCAGACTGGTGCAGCCACTGTGGAGAACAGTATGGAGTTTCCTCAGAAAACTAAAAATGGAACTCCCATTTGACCCAGTGATCCCACTTCTAGGAATATATCCCAAGAAACTAGAAACACCAATCAGAAAGGATATATGCACCCCTATGTTCATAGAGGCACAATTCACCATAGCTAAGATTTGGAAACAGCCTAAGTGCCCATCAGCAGATGAGTGGATGAAAAAACTGTGGTACATCTACATAATGGAATACTATGCTGCTATATAAAGGAAGGAACTCCTACCATTTGCAACAGCATGGATGAACCTGGAGAGCATTATGCTAAGTGAAATAAATCAGTCAGAGAAAGATAAACACCACATGATCTCACTCATGTGGAATATAATGAACAACACAAACTGATGAACAAAAACAGATCCAGAGACAGAGAAGCATTGATCAGACCGTCAAATCTCACAGGGAAGGTAGGGGAGGGTGGGGTAAGGAGGAGAGATCAACCAAAGGACTTGTATGCATGCATATAAGCATAACCAATGGACACAGACACCAGGGGGGTGAGAGCATGAGCTGGGGGAGTGGGGAGGCAATGGGGGGATAAGGACACATATGTAATACCTTAATCCATAAAGAAAAAAAAGGTAGAGATGGGATAATTCTTTTTTATTTTTCAATTACAGTTTACATACAATATGATATTAGTTTCAGGTATACAACATAGGGATTAGACATTATATAACTTAAGTGATCAACTCAATATATCTAGTACCCATCTAACACCATACATAGTTATTATAATATTTTACAATTCATTTAAAACTTATTGCATATATTCGGTTACAGAGTTATTCTCTAATTTAACCAATTCCCTATTGGAAGATATTTAAGTTTTCTTCAACATTTTATTTCAAAAGTTCTGATATTTTAAAGTTTTTTTTCCTGGTTGCTTTACCATCCCTTATAAATTTTATATCTTTAGACTCGCAGTGGTTCTCAACCTTCTGGCCCTTTAAATACAGTTCCTCATGTTGTGATCCAACCATAAAATTATTTTCGTTGTTACTTCATAACTGTAATGTTGCTACTGTTATGAATCATAATGTAAATATCTGATATGCAGGATGGTCTTAGGCGACCCCTGTGAAAGGGTCGTTCGACCGCCAAAGGGGTCGCGACTCACAGGTTGAGAACCGCTGCTTTAGAGGATCAGCACAGTGTCTGACATAGCAGGTAGTTGATAAATATTAATTCCTTTTCCCTTCATGTATACTTTTTTTTTTTTTTTAAGGTATGAGAATGACTTTCTGTTGTGCTACCTACACTTTCTCCTTCTGGGGCCTGGTCAACCAGCCAATGTGAGATATGTCCTTTGCATATATGGAAAAGATCTTCTTTATGAAGAGACAACTGACATTTGTTTAGATTAGTTTCTAGCCCTGGATTATTATAACTCAGTTTAGTCAATGGATCCTCAAATTACACAGCTTACCTGTGGTTATCAGTGGTTTCATCTTTGTAGATAAAAGATGGCACATTTTGGTAAATAGATAAGAAGGTTTTGGTAATCCCTCCAGTTTTAGGTTTATGCACTTAAAAATCACACCCCTATTTATTGTGGTTATTGTGCAAATGTGCAGAACTAAATCTCAGTACTGCAGGACGCACGTCTAATTTTTATACTTGGAAAAATAGAGAAAACAGCAATTCCAATAGAACTTCTCAAAGTGTAAGATGGAGATGGAGAGCACAATCCTGATTCATAGACATATTTGAGGAAGGCACAGGCAATAGAAACAATACTAAAATTCATGATAATCCTAGTAAGAAGGTGTGAAGGGAAGAGAGAGAAGAGGAAATGGCACTGGCACAGCATGGGTAATACCTAAAATGCAGATGAGATAAATATAGATGGATGGAAAACAACTGTAAGTGAAGTGGTTTCAGGAAGGTCAAAGATTTCCAACTAAGGGGATTAGTGTGTGCAGCTGTTAAATGGGAGGCTCATCTCATTCTTAAGCTCTCAGGTTTCACTGTTGGGCAATAAATGCCTTTTGGGTGAGTGGCTTGATAGTCTCATCCTAACAAGCCAATCATTTTACTGTCCTGGAGTGGGGTGGAAGGATTAAGCTAACCAATATTTATTAACTCTTGGTCAAAAAAGTACCATTTCAGTCAAGCTTTAAAGAATATTATTAGAACAAGTGATACAATAAAATTGTGTTTGTGTGTTTTTGTTGTTTCTTTATCACCTAAGGCTACCCTTCAAAAGTGTTTTCCAAAATTAAGAATAATACTTTGATTTGCTTACCAAACTGTTTTCCTGCTCCATATTTCCAAATGAGTGTGAGAATTAACCAGCTTATAATAAAAACAGACAAATTTCTCTTCTGAGGAGATTCAGGAACACCAAATCTTATTTTTTACAGTCTTTAATGAGCTCTCAGGATGACCTTGTTTCTTGTGGAAAGGAATATTTTTCAAGACAAAGTGATCAATGGTATTCCAATGCATTTTCTAATGCCTAGTTTAGCTAAATTATGAAAATTCATTAAAATAACCTTTATATGATTTTATTAATTCTCAACATGTTCTGTTTCTATAGTTTAATAAGTTCACACAAGGTCAAAGATGGTAAGAAAATAGAGTAGTGCTTCTGGAGAGTGTAAGAATATCAATACTAGTATAAAGTTGCTAAAAAAATGAATTGAGCATTTGAAAAAATACAGGTCTGTTAATTCATTCCAATGGCATGTACTCATTCTGGGACTTAGATATCATAATCATCCTACCTCTCCTATACTATGTTACTTATCACAGTCATTAGATCACCCTATGATGTAGGGTTAATTTCAGCATATCCAAATGCCATCAGTTATGAATACTAATTCTGGGCATTTTGTTGAGAGTCCCAAGCATGCCTAGTTAATTATTATTAATTTGGTGCCTATTTTGCCGACTTAGAACACTCACTGAGTACAAAGCTTTGCACAAAAATCTATTTTCCCAGTTACCCTTATCATAGCTCTATCCTTGGTGCAGATTAGCCAAATCGAATATGCCATCTCTATTGCTGCTATTCTGAGGGGCTCGGGTGACAATTACCAGTTCCCTAGAATTTGCCCGTAATTGACTATGTCCCACCATAGGTAACTCTGGAAGTGACAGGCAGCCTCAAGTGTGGTTCTCCCGCCTGTCGATTGGACCTTGCAGGAAGCCCCGCCTCACCAACTCAGCCAAGGGCTGCAGTTGGTCGGGCTCCGGTGAGTGGCGGGCCTTAGCTCCGCCCCGGCCGTCCGCTGCGCTGCCTGGGTCGGCGCCGTTTCCAGTTGAGAGATGGCGGCCGCCGCAGGTAGATCGCTCCTGCTGTTCCTCTCCTCCCGAGGCGGCGGCGCGGGCGCCGGCGGCTGCGGAGCGCTGACGGCCGGCTGCTTCCCCGGGCTGGGCGTCAGCCGTCACCGGCAGCAGCAGCACCACCGGACGGTGAGTGAGCGCGCCCGGAGGCTCCGGGGAGGGCGGGGCGGCGCTGGTGTGTGGGAGCTGCCGGCCGGCAGGCCGCCCGGGCAGCGGGTGAGTTACCTCAACTCGCGGCCGCTCCCGGGGTTGCCGGGCACCGAGGGGCCGCCGTGCCCTTCAGGCGCCTGCGGCGGCGACCAGGAAGGGAGGGCGAGCGGAGGAAGCCGAGAGGACGAGGAGGAGGGGCGACGGCGGGGATGTTCCCGCAGGACCGGGGACACCAGGGCGGGGAAGGCAGGGACTTGAACCTCGCGCTGACCCGCCCCCGGTGTCGGTCCCTCCCTCCGGCTTTCCTCACCGCTCTGCCCCGCTGCTCCCGCGCGGAGCCCCGTGCGAGTTGTCCCCTGGCCCCCTCCCCGGGCGGGTTCGGGCGTCCCGAGTGGCGGCGGCTGCCTGTGTGTGTGTCAGGAGAGGGGCAGCGCCTGCTTCGGGGAACTGTCCCCGGAGAGCAGCCCGAACCCGCGGGGCGGCTCCCTGGGCCTCTCTCGGCCCTGCGGGGATGGGCAAGGAGGACGATCAAACTTTATCCCTCTCGGCGACTTCCTGCGTGCGTGGGCACGGGGAGCGGCGCCCGGCGAGGGATGCTGCATTGCTTCAGGAGCAGGCTCCGTCCGCGGTCCTCCAAGGTCCCCGGTGGTCCCCTCGCAGGGCCGGTGCACAAACTTGCTCCGCGTGCCGGAGGGAGGAGGGCGGGCAGCAGGCAGAGGGGAGCGAAGATGACAAGTTATTCGGAGAGTCAGGGATTTGGTGGTTGTCTTAGTCAGTTATTGCTGTTTTCATTGGCTGGCAGGGATCGGGGAGTTTCTGTCTGAACAGTTGTGTGTGTGTGCATGTGCGTTTGCATGTGCATGTGCGTGTGTGTGTGTGATTTTTGTCAATTGCAAGAGATCCACTTGCCATGAGTTCTAGACCTCACAAGTCTGCAGGTTCTCTTCCCTTGCACTTCCTAGACCCATATGTGTTGGTCTCTGGCCAACTCGGGGAGAAGGAGTGCAGGTTTTATGTCCTGGGGCTCACGGCCCAGCCGGATGGAAGAAACTGGTGCCTTCAGCCCTCCACAAATACACCCACCTCTCCTGTGCTGATTGCATGGCTGTTGGGAGGAAACTGGACCGGGGGTTCTCGGAGGGGATATCCCAAGACCCACGACAGCAGAAAATTAAGTGTCTGAAAGAGCTCTGTAACTGCAAGATGGTATTGCCATTCTTGGTCATAGGTATGGACCCTATTCTTACTCTTGTGAGAAAATTGTTCTTCTTCATATTTGCCGTCCTGACATGTGGCTTTGCAGAAGCTTTTGGGTGAGAGCCTAGCTTCTTCACAGTTCAATTGCGATTCGCATGCGTTATATAGCCTCCAGTTATGTGTTCTGTTCTCATAAAAACACACGGACACCCAACAATCTGATTGTATTTCCCTTTCAAAGAATTTAAAGACTTACCAAATTGTCTTTATATTTTGGCACGTCTTCTGACTGTGCACAGTTTGTTTTTAAGACTATCTGGGTGTGGTATGCATGGAGCATTTTTAAATTTGTGCCTTGTGTCTTTTCCGCTGTGAGAATCTGTCAGGCTGGGTCTTCCTTGTGTGGGTACTTCGTGGAAGTGTTCTGCTGAAAGTACTGTGCTGAATTTTAACGGAAAGAGCAATGAAAGTGAAGTGTTATGTCTGAAGGGCAGAAGTGTTATGGGAAGAAGTGTTATGGGAATGGTACCTTGTAAATGAATTTAGAGTTGTAAGATTTTTTTTTCAAAATCTTACAACTGATTATTTAAAAAATGTAAAAAGGTTTTGTGTGTGTGTGTGTGTGTTTTGGTGTTTGCTGTGAAGCCATTATGTATACAGCTGCCTCCATTTGTTATTCTATGATTTCTCACAAGACTCAATTTGAAAGGCATCTCTTAGAGATTTGTTTAAGTCTTGATATTTTATGCCTGAAATTGAGGCCCAAGAATGGGAGGGACTTGGTCAGATTACACAGCTAATATGAATAGTTCTAGGACTTCCACCCACCCCAGATATTTTGACTCCCTTATTGTGTTCTTGTTATTATGAAGTGCAGTTGCTCCTTCACATCTCTTTCCTCCCTGACACTGTTTGTTAGGAAAGTATTAGTATTTCAAAACCCCATGAATGGGAATTCTTCTATAAGGAGGTGTTGGTTTGAGGCACATGCATTAGGCAAACATGGAAACAACTTACTCTATAAAAGTCCCTGAGAGACACTAAGGTTGAGTCTTGCATAGGAGACATCCTGTGTATGTGCAGCAGATGGCACTCTGCATTGAACTAGATCACAAGTCCAGCTTGTGCCACTTATGTTCTGCTGTAGTAGGTATGGGAAATTAGAACGAGGGGGGGGGGGGCATTACAGTTCTGGTTAATTTTTTGCTTGAGAGGCATGTTTTTTGAAATCCATCTATCTTCAGTTTTGAGAATGAGTTCTAAGCAACACAGTTCAGCTAATTGGTAAATGTAGTTTTGAAGTTATAAAACATAACTCCTCCTCACCCCCATTAAAATATTATTAAACTGGGTAAATAGGAATAAAAGTACAGGGGCTTATTCAATATTTTTTTAGCACCATCTAGTAATTTTTCCTTTCCTGTTTGGAGCTCCCAGCTTGTGACGGTAACTAAGACTGATGTAAAATGTTTGTTGCATGCCTTCCTGTGTGGTTAGTGAAGGTGGCTGCTATTTTCAAGGATGGTTCTTTAAAGGGCGACTGCCTTTCATTGTGAGCTGTGTAATTCCTTTGCTAAATCAAACTGTTTCATCTCTGATTATGACAGTCTGACTGTTGGCATTTCCTAGCGGTCCACCACCGCTATGTTGAATTACTAGATCTTGTTTTCTTAAGTCTGTCACTGTACTGTTACAGTTTGTGGCTGCCCTCTGTATTTTACACATTGTATTTCTTTGGCAGAGATATCATTTCAGTTTAAACTGAAAGTTTTAACCGAGGTTACATTGCCTGACATAGAGGCAAATCCCAGTTCTTTAACTGGGTTCCTCATGTCTGGCCCAGTCTTAGTTTCCCAGATCCACCCTAGCGCAAATATTCCACTGCACTTAAGGCAGTATCCCATATATCCATGCTAAATGTTTACGCAGTTCTTATAGCTGAATTTCTGTTTTCGTCACCCCTCTAGCCCTAAGGTCCATTTCAGGTTAGAGACTGTGACCCCCGACTCCTCTTTGAATCTGACATCCTCACTTTGCACATAAGTAAGCAATGGGAGCTGAGGGAAGTGACTTGATAGGTTACATTTGTGGTTAATTACACCTGCCATTAAAATTCTTTTAAATTCAAGTCCTAGTCCTATTCTTGATTTGTGTGGTTCCTGGCTCTTAATTCCTTACTATTGTTTTATTGTGTCCTCTCTGAATTCTGATAGAATATATTATTTTCAGGACACAGATTGACACTTGTCTTGTTCTCTAAATGTTTCATTTGTGGTACCTTATCTTACTGGGAAGATAAGGAAAAGACTGTGTATCTTATTACCTTTCTCTCTCAACTCCACAGTGCTGGGTATATAGGTGACACTCAG